ACTCCAGGCACAGTTTGAGGAGTTGGCACACTTGTTCTGTGGTTTAATAAAGGTTTCCATCAGACAGAAGGATTAGTGCAGCAGGTTGCTCTGATTGGATAAATAAACCATCCACACCTCATGAATCTACCTGCTGCTTCAGTCGCTGCATGTTTGATGAAAGCAGCAGCAGGTTGACAGAAATGATTAATTTCTCTGAATAAGCAGCAGGAACCAGGGACAGCTGGAGCTTTAGTCCACTCTGTGCTCTCTGTCCACTCTGTGCTCTCTGTCCACTCTGTGCTCTCTGTCCACTCACTAATGAATCCAGGATGAGACAGTGTTTTTCACATCCTGCCTCTCAGAGCTCCAGCAGCTGACATGGACCACCTCTGGTAAAAATGATGGGATCAGCGGCCTCTGAGGATGTTTTTACTTTAAACCCTGCTTCTGTACAAAAACATTTATAAAACACAGCTTTACTACATGATTTAAACTGTCTCAGACTTTTTATTTCATGTCTACATTTTTTCTGTTTTTATTGAAAACATTTACAAACAAAACATGGCAAAAAAAAAAAAACCGTTACATTAAGATATCAGGTCTACATTTAAATAGCGGAAGCAGAAGCTGGTGGGGACACCGGAAACCGTCGCTTCCAGCCGTACAAACGGGGTTTTACGGCAGCGCGGAGGCTTTACGGCTCGGTTGCGCTCCTCAAACATGTCCTCTGTCTCCCGGGCTGATGAGTCAGAGACAGGCCGGGATGGAGCTCTCCCCGCCGCCTGAAGCTGCTCTCTAACCCGCTGTTACCTCCGAGGAGCGGCCGGAGCGGGAAACAGAAACAACCCGCCTTTTTTTTTCTTTTGTAGTTTTTACTTTGATCTGTTTCCGCAGCCGAAGATGGCGGAGTTCTCCCCCGTCCTGCCGACCCGGGACCACGGAGGCGGAGGACCGCTCGCCCAGCCCATCTTCCCCCGGTCCAGGTCCGGTTCCGAGTCAGAAAGCGAACTGTCCCAGAGCCTGGCCCGGACTAAGATCCGGTCGTACGGCAGCACGGCCACCGTGTCGACCTCTCTGGGGGAGAAATTCATCGAGCATCGGGTTTCAGACGGAGACACCCTGCAGGGGGTCGCCCTGAAGTACGGAGTCACGGTGAGGACCTGGGTCTGGGTCTGGGTCTGGGTCCACTTCCCTCTGACGGGACAAACAGACGTTAAGTTTTATTTTTCATAAAGTTTGGACTGCAGCATCACAGCTGTGTTTACAGGTGGTCCACCCTGCTGCTGGCCTGGGCTCAAACAGGCCAGCAGCAGGGTTATAACTCGACATACAGAACCGAACCTGTGGCTTTTCTGCTCTTTAACAACTCAACACGAGTTTGAGGCGATCTGAAGTCAGGTCCACTTTCAGTGACGTCACCAGGTGCGCCGCCATGTTGGAAGACAAACGACAGGCAGCGTAGAGCTGCAGCTGTTTTTACACATGTTTGTTCTGATTCTAAACCGGGTTAGGTTGTAAAACTGGACCAGCCTTTCAGGATTGACAGCTCATCATTTTTACACCACAGAAAGAGGGCGGAGCCTCGCAGACTCTGTGCCCAAATTCAGGGACTGTGTCCTTGGTAGAACCTGGTCCAGGTGGGCCTCAGTGACACCTGACGATGCAGCTCCACGGTGAAACCACCTGAACCATGTCTGGAAACGCTGGCGTGTTTCCAGTCCTGATTGTTGACTGGTTACATGTTTACTGGTGATTCTGTTGGTTGAATAGTTTCCATGCCAGGCCACGTGGTGGCRCTGTGGATTCTGTATTTCAACGTAATTCACACGGAGTAGAGGGTCAGACTGACAGAGAACTCACACAGCAGACAGGTGTGGGCCAGTTCTGGGGTCGGGCTGGCACTGCTTTAAGATGTGCCATGACTGGCCCAGTTGTGGTTTTGGCTTATGTGATGCTGGCCCATACGTGGACCACATCTGGGACACCTACAGGCCCTGATTCTGTTCTGTATCTGGACCAAGTGTTGGCATGTCAGTTAGAGCTGGGCGGTATACCGTTTTATACCGAATACAGTTTTTATTTTTGTTACAATATGAATTTTCTGAATATCAGACATTCTGGTTTAAATAGCGGAATGTTTCGTCGTGTCTGCCAGTGAACTGTTTCCTGGGGGACACTTTTCCTCGCAGCACCGCTATGTGCGTTAGCATGCTAATGTTTGGAGCAGCTAGTTGCAGCAGCGGGTGATGATTCCTCTGCTTATATTGACTGATGTTTAAAAAACATCCCGTTTTCACTGTCACTGAATGTAGCAAACACCTCTTCAGTGACGTGCACAGTTAGATTTAATGTGGTTAGTTAATATGGAG